TCGGGAGCATCGATAGATTTGAGATAGTAGACGAGTCTGGATTGGTTGAGAGCAACGGCTTGCTGGTATGAAAGACGTTTCTAAAACAAAAAAAGTAACTAAGAGTATAAAAAATTGACGGTGATTAAATATTTTAGGAAACGTCACTTTCGCCAAGAGAAGGTGGTCCAAGTCGACCAAATTACCGGCTGCGACAAGCGGTTCAATTGCCAACCAACGCAGCTGATTTGCGTTAGGCTAAAATACAAAAAATATACGTATCAATAAAATGAGATGAGGAAGGACTCATTCACGCCTCGAGTACTTTGAGACTCTTCGTTAGGGCATCGGCCCGACTTCCAGGAGAGAGGCGCCGATCCATGAAAAGTGTGCATCTAAAAGTTTCGCAAAATGTCTCTCCGATCAAGGAAGTGGGTTTTTTGTAGGTCCCCATGATTCCGTAGGAGGACGGGTCCGATATAAATTGTTTCCAATAGGGGTCCTGCGAAAGTAGTTGTACAATCACTTACTAATTTATTCTGAATGTCAATAAGACTTGCAAACTGCAAGGCATAATTGTACATATAAGAAAGAGAGTTTTCGTTTGTTAAGTCGGTCCTAGGAGATATAAACTAAACAGCCTACGTACATCGCAAAAACTCGGCAAGCGTTCGACAGGTTTTCGGCGTTTTTTGAGACCTCCTCGGCGGGCTTGCTTATTAGACTCACAAATTTGGATATCTGGATGATTTATTGAACAAAGTGTCAAACCTTCGCATCTTCAATATGGCCATGAGAGCTACAAAGAATGGATTAAAAGTAATAAATACATTAGGAGCTCATTAGCCAGCTCATGCTGATCAGTTTTTCGAAGAAAGTCTAAGTAGTTGTCAAAAGCGAACTTGTTATCATATAATAATGAACTGAGGACCTCCTTCCCGAGCAAACCTCTAAAAGATACGAGGATCTAGCATTTAAAAAACGCTATTAGGGGTACTTGTAATACGAAATCTGCATTTCCGCTTTTTGAAGCAATAAATAATATATATGATTTGCTTTCGTAAGAAGTAAAGGATTCAATCGGGAATGCCGCCACTCCACCGATAGATAAATCCCTTACAACGGTATACACGAGGGCCTCCCAACATGACTAAATCATTTAGACCGAATAAGAATTCACCTCCGAGCAGAAGCACAGGTCGCCCTCGAAAATGACCGAATCGGAGATCATATTATTGCACATGGCGCATGTATAACAAACTGGGAAGTCGTACATTACAAGCTTACTTGGGATGACATCAGTAACCTTCCTAAGGTCTAGTTTTTTGTCGCTATCAAAAGACAATATCGAGCCAGAAGAAATAAATAAACGTCATTTACTTGCATCGGAGTGCTTTAAAGTGTCAAAGTCCTAAAAGTAAAGTCGCATACAACAATTACTTCGAAATGGAACCCCCTCAAATCACTGCCCTCCCACATTAGCGCGAATAAGACAAAATAGATTTAGACAGAAAAGGCCTTACCAAAATTTTTAAGCGTTAAAATAGTGTTCGCTCACAATTAAAAGTTCTTATAAAAATTAGAATTCCAAATTTAAATCATTTTTTGACACTATATTATATAATGGAAGAGACGCATCATTGTTATGGGGACTTTCGTTTCGAATGAAAGTGCATGAAGAAGAGATTCGTTGGTCGATCTCACCAGATGAGGACGAATGAAACTCGT